AGGCAATTTTCGATGCCTACAAGTATACATAGAGCTTTGCAGACTAAACTATATTTTAGCTTAATTTATCATCCACAGACGGACGGCCAATCAAAAAGGACAATTTAAACAATAGAAGATATGCTGAGATGTTATGTACTGGAAATAAAAGGATCGTGGGAAGATTATCTACCCTTGGCTGATTTTGTATATAATAACAACTATCAGACTAGTATTCAGATGGCACCATACAAACTTCTTTATGGAAGAAAGTGCAAGTCTCCTATCTATTAGGACAATGTTGGAGAAAGAAAACTTCTTAGACCAGAATTAGTACAACAAGCAATTGATAAAATTCAATTAGTTCAGGAACATCTTCGCACTGTACAAAGTCGTCAGAAGAGTTATACTGGCCAAAGAAGAAGAGAATTGAAATTTTAGGTGTGCGATCATGTTTTCTTAAAGGTTTCGCCTACCCGAGGAGTAAAAAGATTTGGAATTCAAGGGAAGTTAATCCTGAGATTCGTTGGTCCTTTTGAGATTATGGAAAGGATTGGTCCAGTGGCATATAAGTTAGTGTTACCACCATCTCTATCTAGAATACATAATGTATTTCGTGTATCGATGCTACGAAAGTTCATCGGAGATCCAAATGAGATAATCGAATTATCTCCAGTGGAGCTCAAACCTGACTTGACTTATGAGGAGAAACCTGAGTGCATTGTGGATTTTAAGGAACAAGTACTTAAGCGTTGAACCATCAAATATATGAAATTACAATGGAAGAACCATTCAGAAAGAGAAGCTACTTGGGAAACTGAAGATTCTATGTGAGAGAAGTATCCAGAGCTCTTTGGAGATTAAGGTATATTAAGTTTTGAGGACGGAACTTTTTATTAGGTGTGGAGAGTGTAATAGCCCTAAATAAACAGGAAAAAAAATGATAAAGTATATTCTTAAAAAAATCACATTTTACTGTTTCTCACTACCTCTCCATGTCAGTGTTTCTCACCGCCTCATAGTAGGATAAAAGGGAGGAAAGGGGGAAAATTAGGGTAAAAAAAGAGAGAGAAAGAAGTGAAAGAAGAAGGAGACAGTGAAAGAAAAGGACAAGTGAAATAGCATCCTAAATTCAAATCAATCCAAAGATATAGACCACTCTCTTTATTGATTTTCTTTTATTTCAAGGGGTTGATGTCTTGATTTCTTAAGGAATTAAAAAAAGAGAAAAACATATACCTGACCGTCGACGAGGGCCGTCGTCGGCCCCAATCGCTGGGGAGCCTCGGTATCATGAGCCACTCTAGTGATGGAGCAGTGGCGGCCTACGTCTGATCAACCGCAGAAAGGAAAAAAAGAAGAACCAAAGGAAAAAAAAGAAATGAATGGAGGAAGAAGGAAGAGATAGAGGAGAGAGAAAGAGGAAAATTTAGTTAAATAACCAAATTTCTTTGGGACTCCTGAAAGTTTATTAGTTTGTATATAGGTCCACAAGATAAAAAAAAGAATGGAAATATTCTTGTAGACCTTTGTTACTTTTTTTATTTCTATCAGACCAAAAGATCCAAGCTCAGTTAGGAATTAAGCTCGAATAATTAATTGGAATCCCTTGAGTTGCGCCATATATTAATAATAAGTTTGAAATTACTAGAATAATATTATAGAAAATTATAGTAAATTGCTAAAATTAGAAAGAAAGCTTATGTGTAGCTTATTTATAGATAATTATTATTTGAGTATACTTGAATATGATAAATTTTAAGCTTTGCAGTGATTATCATATAATATATACTTGTCCTGAAATAATATTAGTCTTATATTTTATATTATAGGTCCAGGTCGATATTTGGAAAGTAGTGTTTTGAGGAAACTGTACTTATTTGAGGTGAGTTCATTTCTCACTAGTATTTTTTATAATATGAAATTTGCATGAGTTCTATATTTGATTTGATTTTTTGCTTGAAAAATAAGTAATCTATTATTTTTCTTGTATATAAATTTAAATGTGATCCGATCTATTTTATTATGGCATAACATATATATGATTTAATTATATACAAGATATTAAAAGTAAATTAGATTTCACATAAAATGTGATAAGGGCTTTTGGTTTGATGCGAACTCAATTAATTGTGAATAATGCGTATTTGAAAGCTTTTGAAGGGGAAAAAGTAATTTGAATGTGTCTTAACAGTTTGTGGATTCAAAGACTTTCTGTGACTTAATATTTGATAAAAATAGAGAAAAGTAAAATTTGTAAACTCGATTTAAAGTATTTGTAATTTTGGTAAGTGAATATACCAATAATATTTTTGGCACAAATGATGTGTTTTGAAATAAAATGATTTGATGAGTGGTGTTTAACTGAGATGATGAGATTTACGTTCGTCCACTCGACTTAAAGTATTTGTAATTTTGGTAAGTGAACATACCAATATTATTTTTGGCACAAATGATGTGTTTTGAAATAAAATGATTTGATGAGTGATGTGGTTTTGGAAACAAGTAAATTGATAAGTGATGTGTTTTGAAATCAAATAATTTGACAAAGAATGTGTTTTCAAAATCAAGTTATTTATCTAATAAGCAATTCTTGATGTTTTCAAACCCTCAGAAAGTTCACTATGGAGTGATGTGTTTGTTCATGTTATATGGTTAGAATGCACATTTATGTGCCCCGTTATGGGTATTTATGATGTGGTCTTTTGGCATTTGTGATGTTGCCCTTTTTGGGCGCTAGTGATGTGACCGGCAGCCTATGGCAGGGATAGGTGCATTCTGTTCCCGGAAACTATGTGTTATATGATGTCTTTTGGCATTTCCATGCTAGTGGGCTATAATTCGTAGGCTTAGTGAGACCTATGAGGTGATTCTTACATTTTATAAATGTTCTCATCGAGATTTTTGATTTTGAGATTTGAGTGTGAATCCGAGGAAATGATGATATTTTAGCTTTACACAAATTTGATAGTTCGTTTTCTTTCTTTGTAATTACTTGTTTTCAAAGAGAGTTTAATTTTGGAACAAGTTACCATGATTCTGGAATATGCTACGATATATTTAACTTGCACTTTCTTTCTTGAATATAGCAATAGTATGTTATTCTTGGACCATATATTGCTATTTTTTTAAGATATCCTGTGCCAAGCTTATAATTCACTATTTCTGGGAATTATTAGAATTTTGTTAGATATCTAGGATCTCTTGTAGGAAATGTTCTCACTGAGCTTTAGCTCACTCCGTTGTTTTTCAATTTTTTTCTAGATCCGAGATAGAAATGTGATAATCCAAATTCTTAGTTGTGGGCATGGTTAAGAAGTGCTTATTTGGAAACTCGAGAGATAGAAATGTGATAATCCAAATTCTTAGTTGTGGGCATGGTTAAGAAGTGCTTATTTGGAAACTCGACTCTAGTGGTGTTATGTTCAGCAAATCTTAGTTGTGGGCATGGTTAAGAAGTGCTTATTTGGAAACTCGACTCTAGTGGTGTTATGTTCAGCAAATAGAGTGTTTTGCGTTGTAAATAACTATAACGGTAAGGTTGTGAAATGTAAATAACGATTATAAGCATATATGTATAGTTTGTTTTGAGCTACTATCTTCAGCAGGTTTATATATATTTTTTGACTTAAGCTACGTGATATAAAGTATCAAGCTTGACTCGTGCAAGGGGCTTGTCTTGTGCGTGGGTTGTTGATGTCTCGTAACCCGTATCTATGAATTTTCGCTATAGTTTTCGGGGCGTGACACACCAAGTTTCTTTTTTGTTCCGTGCCGGAGAAAACTAATGCAGAGGAGAAAAACGAGTGCTAACCGCAGCTTGGTTACAATTTTTTTGTTTATACTAAACCTACCCTTCTTAACAAATAAAGAATCCTTTATTTGATAAAGACCTTGATGAGATTTTTCAACCAACGACTACAAACCTTGGTGGATTGATCACTCAGTCCACTTAACTTTACAAGAGCTTTACTCTATATAATAGTATAATTATACTATAATAACAAAACCACATCAAAAACAGCATAAAATTAGTTTGGCTATTTGGAAGACTTTAAATCTCCCATATAAGTGGCCACACTTTAAATCTCAAAATCATCAAATTCAACAATATTTTTCAAATTAAACATGTATATATGTACTTAGATCTCAGGTGCCCTATGTAAATGTGAAAAGTTTGGATCTCACAATTTGAACTTCTTCTCTGAAACAGGTTGCAAATTACAACCAAGCTGCCCCATACAGGTCCTGCTATACCGGCCCGGTTGCATTAATCTTATCGTAACGGGCATTTGTGAAACCCTGCTCCTCCCTTATTCACCTTGACTTGATCATCTACTTATTGGTTGGTTCAATTAAACGTTAACTACATTAAACCCGTAAAGAACTTTCAACGATTTGCAGTAAACCCCCTTTAACTTCCAAAATCGCTAAAAACCTGCAATCAACTTTTACGTTTTGCGGAAAACCCCCAACAATTTTCTGTGCTTTGCAGTCTTCCATAAATTAGAACCAAACGACAACATAGAAAGGCAGTTCAAAAGTTATTATTGGGGGTTTAGTGTAATCTACGAATAATATTGGGGGTTTAGTGAGATTTTGAAAGTTATCGGGGGTTTTCTAGAACACGCTGAAAGTTCTTGGGGGGTTTAGTGTAATTAATTTACCCTTTAATCAACTAGAAAGATTGTCAATCTATGTAGGGTCTAAACTAATTAATGATCACGTTGAATCCCATGTCTACGTATGCTTCATACATTGCAACGGAAACTTCCAAGACTCGAAGTACAATCCGGATCCCGAGCCCGAGCCAACCCGAACTCCACGGATATAACACAAGTACAGTGCAAATAAACACTATTAGCATCATCCCCATTTTCATTAAGCATCCAAAGTTGTAACAGATCCAATGACAAAGACATCAGTATCGTAAATCAACTAAACCGCAGGGGCATTTCCGTCGACATGCATTCATATATACAAATACAACACTGCACCGCTTGAGATCGCCAGCCATTGCTTCAACCTTCTTCGTAATTTCCAATATCCTCGACTACTACTACACTTGAAAACGCTCTCATTGTGAGAGCTTGAGCTCCATTTGTAGAGAGAGTGAGTGAAAATCTAATGGCTGAGCTGATGTGGAGAAGAAAATGGTTGTGTTTGGCAATTGGGTTCAGCTTCATGTTTGCGTTGGATTTGGTCTCAGCAGACAGAATGCTGAAGAACAAGGAGATTGAACTCAAAGTAGATGATCAAGATCAACAAGAGTCTGAGTACTATTTTGTCAAGGTGGTTAATTTTTTGTGGCAGCCCAACGAGTCAAGCTACCAGCACGTTTGGCCTGTAAGCTAGTGTTGTTCCTTTTTTTTTTTTCTATTTGGTATATTAGAGAAAATTTCCCTAAGTTCGTAATTAATAAAAAAAATCTACGACAATTTTGTAGGAATGACAGACAATCTTCCGGGAGTTTTGAAAGTGACACTTAACACTCTCCCACATTCATTTTCCATTTCTGGTCAAATAACCATCAATTTTTTTGATGCTATATCATCAAATTTCAATATGATACCTTGCAAAACTTAGGAGGATTTTCTGTAAATCAGCTTTTTATCCGAATGTTTAGTTAATTAACATATAGGGAATGCATTCATGCATGTGTGGCTACTTGGTTTAATCTTGATTTTGGATCGAATAGGATATGAAATTTGGATGGCAAGTTGTTGTCGGCTCAATTATCGGCTTCTTTGGTGCTGCATTTGGGAGTGTTGGAGGTGTAGGGGGAGGTGGGATTTTTGTTCCCATGCTTACTCTCATCATCGGATTTGATCCCAAATCGTCCACGGCAATCTCCAAATGTAAGTGTCTAAACTTTTCTTAGACACGCAGTAATTGAATTGGAAGTATCAGGCTGCGAAGGAGGAGGAAAAAAAATCATGTAAGATGTATTTGATTCGTTGCCCACGACAGGGTAATAACTGGTTGTTATCCTACAGTACCTAAAATAATGCCCTCAGGGCTCAATTGAAGCCCAGTGTTTGACTGCATCTTGCACAAAAGAAACAAGACCAACGAATCTTTAGCAATTGACGAGTTCATTAGCTTTTTGTTTATACGTGTTTATGTGAAAAATCACACGGAATAATGATATGATGATTTATTTAGTTCCGTTACTAATTAGTTCAATAGTTAATTCCTGTTGATTTTTTTTGTTAGGTATGATCATGGGGGCAGCAGGCTCATCTGTTTACTACAATCTTAAGCTAAGACATCCAACTTTAGACATGCCCATTATTGACTACGACTTGGCTTTGCTTTTCCAACCAATGCTTATGCTTGGAATAAGCATTGGGGTTGCATTTAATGTAATTTTCGCCGATTGGATGGTTACAGTTCTTCTCATAATCCTCTTCATAAGTAATCCTTCAACTCATATTTTTTGTATATCTTTTGTGATTGTTAGTATCGCCATTGATCGTATTCTTTGTGGATTCGTATTTCTCTTAATTAGTCACATCAAGCAAAGCATTCATGAGGGGTGTTGATACATGGAAGAAGGAGACATTGGCAAAAAAGGTTATCCCCTAATTTCTGTTGGCTGCATTATTTGTCTTATTAGTAAGTTGATCATATGGGATAATACATTTTTTTTTTTTTCGAAATTTGGCTTTTTTGTGAGTATTAGAAAAATAAATTGTTAATCGCCCATGAATTTTATTTTCATGCAGGGAATGAAGAAGTAGAGTACCAAGCTCTTCCTTCTGGCCCGGGAAATGCTGATTCAAAGGAGACCAAGCCAACGGCTGATGCTGTGGTAATTAATTAGTCTAAAAGTTTCATTCAATTTACATTTCAAGATATTAAAAATTGAATAATAAAAAATATTTGTAGGTTCCGCTCCTTCAGAATGTGTACTGGAAGGAGCTTGGCCTTCTTTTCTTCGTATGGGTTGCATTCCTTGCGCTTCAAATTGCTAAGGTGAGATAGTGAAACATATGCATTCTACAAAACCCTTTGAAATTTATAATCATGAGGAGAAAGATTTATCTATTTTTCAACCACCTCTACAGAATTATGCATCAAATTGTTCGATGAGGTACTGGGTTTTGAACTTGTTGCAGGTAACGTAACTTTGTTTAGTGTATAAGTCCAGCACGATTCTTTACTTTTTTTTAGAAGAAAAAAAATAGTAGAGATGACCGCTACTTTTGATTACAGTCATCTATTCGTGAGTTGACAATTGTGATTCATTGAAATGTCAGCATGTACTAAATCCCCCATGTATGGGCTCATTTCCACTTTTCAATTAAGATGAAGCACAACTGTCGACTAAATAAATAGATGGTTACGATTAAAAGCAATTGTCTCTTTGAAATTGATTCATGGATATGGAAATTTCTTGCATGATACAACTTTGGTGTCCTTCAGATTCCTGTCTCTGTAGGTGTTTCAATGTATGAAGCTGTTAGCTTATATAACGGAAAAAGAGTGATCGCATCCAAGGGAAATGAAGTGACGGAGTGGAAAGTCATTAGACTCGTGCTATATTGTGTTACAGGAATTGTTGCCGGTATGGTTGGGGGATTGCTTGGATTAGGTGGAGGGTTTATTTTGGGCCCTCTTTTCTTGGAGCTTGGTATTCCTCCGCAGGTCTGTGCATGTTATTCACATAATTCCATTGAGCTGACTTATGTTTTACAAATGGAAATATTGGTTTTGAACATCATTTGCCCTGCCTCGTGCTTGAAATATGCTTGTACTAATGTAGGTAAGAGTTAATGTAAGTGAGCTGGTTTTCATCTTTTCTTGTTATTGACATTTTGAGTGTACAAAGGGTAGTGCACCATAAGCTCCAACATTGACTGGACGTGAGAAAGCAGTTGCTACTTGCTATTTCACCTGTGTGGTCATTTTCAACTCCAACAAACAAGTTGATAAGACCATCTAAATCATATTGGGTCACCCAAAACTAAATTCCCCAATTGGTAATGAAATAATCTATATTTCTGTAGGTGCCGTTTGGCAAAGGGTTAAGTGAGAGGTTAAGGAGACTTAACCCCTTCTTAACCCGTCAAATACAAAAAAAAATCTATATAATGGTTAAAGTGAGTTAACCATCTATAATTTGCCAAACACAAAATATGTAGAAAGGTTAAGCTAACACCTCTAAACGGATTAAAATGAGTTAACCCTTCAAAATGAGGGGTTTACTAACACTCCTATTTAGAATGATTAAGAGCTAACCCCTCTAATTATAAAGAAAATAGTCAAAATCATTGTTATTCCCAAACACTAAAAATGATCATAAGGGTTAAAATAAACTTATATAACGGGTTAATAATTTAGTCCTTTAGATTATCGAATAGGCTAACTATGTCCATCCTTCTCCTTAATCCCTCTTCATTAATCATTTGCCAAACGGGGCCGTAGAGTATTGATGCTTTTCCCAAGTCGGGATAAAGGAGGAAGTTTGAGTTAGGAATATAACAGCCAGGATACAACATAGTTGGATCTATATGGCATGAATCTTAATGAATATTTGTTAAGATGTCCCCACCACGACGGGTAGCACTAATGCTTGCCTAGTCCAATGAAAGACAATGGTGGATTGCTAGGGCGTTTCCTGAAAAAGCAAGGCGCTACAGTTAACTTAAGGGATGAGATGACCCATAATAAAAATGAATGGAGAACTAGGATTCATGTAGCCGACACCAAAAAATTGGGATAATAGCTCTTTACATGAATGATTCATTTTTCGGCTAAATTGTGCATTTTTGTTACTTCATGCACGCCTCCTGGATGATAGAAATTTAAATTTTCATAACAGAAAAACAGGTGCTGGGATTTAACATTGAATTTCTTGGCAGGTATCTAGCGCCACTGCAACCTTTGCGATGACATTCTCAGCATCTATGTCAGTCGTAGAATACTACCTCTTAAAGCGTTTCCCTGTTACATATGGTAATATTATATAATCAATCTTATTTCCCTAGTACAATGAGAAATTTTGTTTAACTTGATTTGAATTTGTCGATTGACACCGGTCTTTCGGTTTTCATTTTGATGTCGAAGCTCTCTACTTTGTTGCGGTAGCGACAGTTGCGTCCTTTATTGGCCAACATGCAGTGAGGAAGCTGATTAATATCCTGGGGAGGGCCTCCCTCATCATTTTTATCCTCGCTTTCACAATCTTTGTTAGCGCAATATCCCTAGGTGAAAGAAAATTCAAGGACTCCCAGTTAGTTCTCGTTATCATTTTCTCTTTATTTTTTCAATATTAACATTTTTCGTGTGTGTAACAGGTGGAGTTGGTATCTCAAACATGATCAAGAAGATTCAGCATCATGAGTATATGGGCTTTGAGAGCCTGTGCAAGTACCAAGTTTAAGGTTAAAACCACAGCAAGAGAAGAAATTTTGGTTTTAGTTTGTGTTGTAGGTTTATTTTTTCCCCTATTAATTCGTTTTTTTTTTTTTTCCTTTTCTTTTATCCCCTTTTTGAGGTAGAGAAGGACTCGATGGCGCTTGCTGTTAGTTGTAACATTTTTTTCAATTGCTAAGTTGAATAAAGAAGTTTTTGTTTTATTTGACATAGAGTACAAAATTAAAATGGAAAAGGAAAAATGACTATTAGTTTTGTAGCTCATGTTGTAGGTATCGTTATTTCAAGAATTTCGGAGATCTCATTACGAACTGGCTGACGCACGTCAGTATCCACTGCTATCAAGTTTATGACAAGCTTTTCTCATGCTAATTAGAGTAAGGCCGACTGTTGGTTATTGTTTACACAGGAAATTACATAATTTAAATTCGTCTGATTTGGATCGTTAACATGCACTGTAAAAGCTTTCTCAAGTATCAACAATGACTTTGATTCATCATCCCGCTCTGAGTTACGGATTTCAGCCAGAAGCAGTAAATGCAATTTGAGACAGCTTGTTATACAAAACGCACGGGAATTTCTTTACCAAATAGAGAATAAATGATGAAGTTTAAAGAAGAGCATATACAGATATACTAAGCCGTAGCCATAACAGAGAAGTTCCCGTGCGTTTTAACATTAATAAGCCCAAACTGAGCAAGGCGAAATTGATTCAGATTCATAGCGGGAGCAGAAAACAAAGAAGTTAACATTCCATTAACATTCTTTCCTCGGACAAATTTTCAAAACCAACCTATTTGGATTTTTATTCCCAAAAAACGACCCCATTCAGTTTTATTTGCAAAAACCGACCTGGTTTCAGCCTCAGCGTTGAAACCAGGTCGGTTTTTGAAAAAAACTCTCCGAAACTTCACAGGAGTTGAACTCCCGTGAAGTTTTTTGAACTATGAAACTTCACGGGAGTTCAACTCCCGTGAAGTTTCGGAGAGTTTTTTTTAAAAACCGACCTGGTTTCAGCGCTGAGGCTGAAACCAGGTCTGTTTTTGTAATTATTTTTGAATGGGGTCGTTTTTGGGGAATAAAAGTCCAAATAGGTTGGTTTTGAAAATTTGTCCTTCTTTCCTCCTACTCATTGTAGTAACAGCTAACAGATGTTTCAAGGACAGAATACAATACTGATCCAAATATCATTTTCTTCCTGAACGAAAGCAGTTGTAAAATCTTAGTACCAATGAAACATTTGTACACTGAGCATAGAACAAATTTTCTTTCTTTTGGATATGGAAATAAAAAGGAAAAAAGAAATGGGAAAAAACAGAACCAGGAAACTTTACTAGCCCAATTATGAAAATTTGTCATCTTGATGGTTCAAAAAAATGCACAATACATAGCATGCTATCAAACCTCTCTAGCTAAAATATACATAATCAAATTAACTGACAGAATATACAAAAATGAGAAGATGGAAAGAAGAATATGCACAGCAAACACTGAAGTACAACAAGCCAAAAGAATCCTAAATAAAATCAGATGAGAATCTTCTCACAGATTTCACAAGCTCCCAACTTTATTAATACCAGCTTTGCTCGGTTTGGTCTTTGCCATATTAACAAGATCACCAAAAAGCTTATCTTCTGGCCTTGAAGGCTTGTTGGACTGTGACAAATAAGAGGTTGAAGTGGGAATATGATTGTATGAGGAGTTATCTTGCGTAGAGAGTCCATACATTCTTTGCGAGAGGTCGTTTGGAGCTCCGTAAGGGTATGATTGTGTCCTCTGATGATAGAATTGGGCATTTGGCAGTGGTCCATATCCATAACCCATCACCATTTGGCCTCCATATATGGCTTGTTGCTGAGGCATCATAGGTTGCATTGGCTGGGGATATATGCCTCCTACTTGGCCATAAGGGGATGTTCCCATATACTGAGGGTTTTGTATAGGTTGAGGTTGAAGGCCTCCAAATTGGTTTGTTTGCAAAAAATTGGGTTGCATTCCTCCCACATGGCCATTTTGTATTGATTGTGAATCCTGCCCATCTGATTGTTGAACTTCCCAGGGTGGTGGAGGAAAAGCTCCATTCTGATCTTTGTTGCCTGTCAACAAAAATACATCACCGAAAATGATTGACAATCACTTTCATATTAAACTATAGAACAAATAAAATCATGAAAGGTTTCGCTCCTCCTAACATAACCATTGAGAGTTTACAGTGTGTTATCAGTCACCATGTGCTCTATTATCAGTCGAATCATCAACTGCCTCACCTGAGTACATTCATTCATTCTTGCTTACAAATAGCGAAGTTGAAGAATCTTAGGTTTTATATATGATACACCATGTGGGGGTAGATATACAGGCTGTATTTGATCTGTTCATATCTGAAAACAACTTGGAGCTACAGTTTTTTTTTTTTTTGTAAGAATTGTTTGGCTGACATCAATAAGGAGTCCAAAAGGTAAGGAGATTTTCACAATATGCTGAATTAAGAACCCCCCAGGATCTCCAGACTGAAACACCTCAGTTTCTTTTCATTAAAACAGTGAAACTCATAAAATATTAGAACTCTCACTAAACCCAAAAGTTAAAAGCTATGAAAAGATCGGTGAGTACTTACCATAGTCAATTGTTTGCTGTTGGCCATTCCATGCAGGATTTGCATTGTTTATTTGTGCTCCTGATGCATAAGCTGCATGCGCATAAATAGGTGATCCAGAGTTTTGGATGCCTCCATTAGAATAAATAGCAGTCTGAGAATGAGAAACAACAGGTGTAGCTATATTGCTGTTGCTGGTGCTGTTGTTTTGAGGAAACATGTCTGCAAGTGCTAAGACGTTCTGATCAGATGGAGTAAGTGAAACTGGCTCGTTAATCGGAACAAGAGCCAGTGGATTCTCTGCTGCAGGTTTACTGTAATCATCCCCGCTGAGAAGATCTATTATAGAATCAGACTTTAGTGTAGGGGCTGACGATCCATTGGATACTGGAGGTGCAGGTAAGAGTAACTGCTGAAGAGGAGGTTGACTACTCGTGCTTGCAGCAGAACTACGAATAGAGAAATAGTTTACTAAAACCATAAAATGCTATCAACTGACTTTACATGCAAACATACACACATAAGGGATCGATGCAACCAGGAAACGAAGCCTGTAAACTTGGTGTGCAGTATAGACACTGAGTATGGGTTTGACGCTCATGACTTGAAAACCAGTTGTACACACCGAAAAACATACAGTATTTGAAAAAATAAAATAAAGGGCAATGTTCCCGACACTTGTGGGATACCATGTTTACCTTGTTGGGACGTGCTTTTGCAACAATTTCCCTACTCGCATGAGAAACTCCAAAATTGGTTTTTGTTGTTCGAGAAAATTATAAGTTTAAAAATTAGCTACAAACCATTTATACATAAATATATTATCAAACAGAATTCCTGAAACTGATTTGAAGCATAGAGATCCTATTAAGGACACTGTTAGATGAGAGAAAGTTAGAGAAATATATATACATCCGACTTGGTGTCAGCATGGCATGTCCTGATATACGCCAAGAATTATATTTTAGATAAATGTTACATGAAATCTAAGAAGCACCGACTCGTGAAAATTCCCCCCGTCCCCGTGCCCGATGCTTGTCGGGGACGGACACGCGTTCGACACGCGTTCGACACGAGTCGGACACGGCATCAACGGCGTCGACACGGTCAGCTCTAGGCGAAGTTGAGGGTGACACGATGAAACCAGAATTTGAAACCAAAACCCGAAACCCAAACCCGAAACCCAATTTCAAACAGAAACCCAAACGTTAACCCTAGTCGTGAGAAAACTTACCCGATTTCTCGTCGAAAGGGCTCTTGCGAAGTGAAGAGGCACCGCCAGCTCTCTCGCTCTCTCTCATCCCTTCCCCTCTCTGTTTCTCTCTTTCTCTCTCTCTCTTATCTCTTTCTCTCCCTCATTTATCTCTTTCACGCTCTCACCACAAAAAAACCCAAGCAAATTTTCTGACTCACAACCCCCCCCCACGAACTCTACAATCACCCAACAATCCATTGTTCTCTCTCTCTCTCTCTCAAAAATCGCACCCAACTTTCAAAACACCTCTGCCCCCCACTACGATGGTTATATATTTTAAAAAAGTTGATTACTGTTTGCTTTTAAAATAGTTGATTACTGTTTGCTATTTTGTGTTGATTACTGTTTGCTACTTTGTCATTCAATGTTCCCTCTTCTTACTGTTGAATGCCTTACTGTTTGGAGCTGCTTGGGTTGGTATTCTCCTTGTTCACTGTTGATTGCTGGTTGGGTTAGCTCCTATTTTTTATTTGTTGTTTTGCTGCTGTTGATTAATTATTCTTTTTTCTACTGTTTTGCTGCTGCTAGATAATTTTTTAATGTTAACTGTTATTTGCTTACTGTTCTACTATTGTATGCTAATTTAAATGTTAATTACAATTGTTTAACTGTTGTTTGCTTACTGTTCTACTATTGTATGCTAATTTAAATGTTAATTAGGATATTGTTTACTGTTCTACTGTTGTTTGCTTTTAGTTACTGCTTTACTATTATTAATTTTTTAATTTATTGTTATTGCTTATATTTTATAGAAATGGAACAAGACGGGAGTTCTAGTGGTAGTGGAATACAAGATGACAAATGTCCGCTTTAAAAATATGTTACTAAATTGGAGAAAATAGGGGAACGGCAGGAGGAAATTGAAGATGGAGATGTAATTCTTACAGAGAGGATTTTACCGGTACACACTTAAGAGTTAAAAATCACCTCTTGAGGATAAGTGGGACTGGAATTAAGATGTGTTCCAAGTCAACACCCGAAAATTTAAGGGAGTTTCAAAGGACGCTGGATCAAGCAGAGGCTAGGTTGATGGCTTCTAGGCCTAAGATGTCAGTTTTGCCTACATCTTCGACTGCAAGTACGGCCGGTGTAGGTGCAAGTGCAAGCATGCCGATTGATGCAGGTGGATTTAAGAGGAGGGGGCCTAATACCGTGAAACAAGCATTCAACATGGGAGCAAGGAAGGAATTGGATGCATTGATTGGTAGGATGTTCTTCACCGGGGGATTGTCCTTCATCTTGACAAGAAATCCATATTATGCCAAACAGGCTTATTGAGGCGCGCGCCTCGGGCGCGCCCCGGGCGCAGGGCGCTTCGGCCTGGGGAAATGCGCCCCGCACGCGAGGCGGGGCGCTGCACGCAGCGAGGTTATATTTCTTAGTCTTTTTATGTGACAATTTATAAACATATGCTCATAATTGTTAATCACTTAATTTGATGATTTAAATACATGTTTCGTGTATCTTTTTTATTTTTTAAAAATTCAGTTAGCATAATTTGATGATTTAAGTTGATATTCTCATAATTTTGGATGTAGGTAACTAATATGTTGCTTATATGTTTCTGTCTTATGATGTTGGCAAATATTAGTTTGAGTTATGCGCCTCAATTAGTGAGACGCGCGCCTCGTTGTGCGCTTTGCGCATGGTGCGCGTAAGGGACATTTGCGCCCCGCATTGCGTTTTGCGCCTCGATAACACTGATGCCAAAGCTTTTGCATATGCCGCAAACAATCCAATTTCTGGCTACAAGCCTCCTGGTTACAATTCCATGAGGACCACTATCTTACAACATGAGAAAACTCACGTTGAGAGATTGATGGAGCCCATCAGGGACACATGGCAACAGAAGGGAGTCTCCATTTGTAGTGATGGGTGGGCAGATGCACAAAGGAGGCCCATCATTAATTTTATGGCGGTATGTGAGGGTAAGCCAATGTTCTTGAATGCCGTGATTTTATCCAAACACAGCTAGAAAAGTGCATCACAGAGGTGGGACCGAAAAATATCATCCAAATCATAACCGATAATGCTTCGGCATGCAAGGCCGCGGGAGGGCTTGTGGAGCAAACTTGGCCTCACATATTTTGGACTCCTTGTGTAGTCCATACACTCAATCTTGCTGTTAAGAATATTTGTGCGGCTAAGAACACGGAAGCAAATGTCATGGCTTATGCACAATTACATTGGATTACAGAGATCTCCGATGATGCATTGTTTATGAAGAATTTTATCACACAATTACATTGGATTACAGAGATCTCCGATGATGCATTGTTTATGAAGAATTTTATCATGAACCACTTTATGCGGCTTTCCATATTTAATGATTTTTCCAAGATGAAGCTCATATCAATTGCCGACACAAGATTTGCCTCGTGGATTATTATGTTGAAGAGGTTTAAGGTCGTCAAGAGAGGCCTCCAAGACATGGTCCTTAGTGATCGATGGAGCTTATATAGAGACGATGATGTGAAGAAAGCTCAATTTGTGAAAGAGAAAGTCCTCGATGATTTGTGGTGGGACAAGATAGATTTTATTCTTGATTTCACCGGCCCAATCTATGAAATGATAAGGGTCACCGACACCGATACACAATATCTTCATTTGGTGTATGATATGTGGGATACAATGATTGAGAAGGTGAAGCAAGCTATTTACAGGCATGAGGGTAAAAGGGATAACGAGGAATCTCCTTTTTATGAGGTGGTTCACAAGATCTTGGTGGATCGATGGAACAAGGGCAACACCCCGCTTCAGTGCTTGGCACATTCTTTAGTTCCAAGGTAATATTTCACATTTTACTCTTTAATGCGAATATTTCAATTAATTTTAATATATGAATTTCTTCTCACAAACATAGGTACTATCATTCCACATGGCTCAATGAGAACGTCAATCGGCAACCTCCAAATCAAGATCTTGAGATCTCTACAGAAAGATCAAAGTGCTTAAGAAGATATTATCCTAACCCCGATGAACGATTGGTGGTGAACTTGGAATATGCTAAGTTTGTGGGGTCTTTGGAGGCTTTTGGTGATCCGGATTCTCTTTCCGATAGAGGACATATGGATCCAAAGTCATGGTGGCTTCTTTATGGTGCAAGTGCTCCAAATTTGCAAGCATTGGCCATAAAGCTTCTAGGCCAACCTTGTTCCTCTTCTTGTTGTGAACGGAATTGGAGTACGTATGGTTTCATTCACTCCTTAAAGAGGAACAAGCTAACCCCGACACGGGCGGAGGATCTTGTTTATGTTCACACCAACCTTCGTTTACTTTCTCGGAATTCGGAAGAGTATATGGAAGGGGAATCAAGAATATGGGATATTGGTGGAGATGCCTTCGACTCATTTCAAGGAGCCGGCATGTTAGATGTTGCTAGCCTTTCTCTTGACGAGCCCACGATGGAGGCCATTGTGTTTGATGAGGATGAAAGAGTTGAATCCATAGAATAATCTTTTTGATGTTTCAACTTGAAAACTTTATTTTAAGATATGCTTTTGAGTGTAATTTTTATATTTTTGCAATGTTAGTAACTTAGTATTTTGTAGTCATTGAACTAGTTGCAACTTGAACTTTATTCTCTTGTATTTTTATATGCTCAAGATGAAAGTAGTGAAAATTAAAAAATCTAGCTGTGTAAGGGGAATCAAGAATGTGGGATATTGGTGGAGATGCCTTCGACTCATTTCAAGGAGCCGGCATGTTAGATGTTGCTGCCCTTTCTCTTGACGAGCCCACGATGGAGGCCATTGTGTTTGATGAGGATGAAAGAGTTGAATCCATAGAATAATCTTTTTGATGTTTCAACTTGAAAACTTTATTTTAAGATATGCTTTTGAGTGTAATTTTTATATTTTTGTAATATTAGTAACTTAGTATTTTGTAGTCATTGAACTAGTTGCAACTTGAACTTTATTCTCTTGTATTTTTATATGCTCAAGATGAAAGTAGTGAAAATTAAAAAATCTAGCTGTGTCGCCGTATCCTATTTTTTGGGGTTTTGCCGTATCCGTGTCCGTGTCGTGTCCGTGTCGCCGTGTCCGTGCTTCATAGCATGCAATCACTTCTCTTCTATGGTTTTCAAGTTAATTCAATGATTCTCATTATTACATTTGTTTCTGGCAATTTCATAAAAATATTATACAACAAAGTGGTACACTACTACATTTTCCATCAAATTTAAGAAAACCACTTTTATTCTGTAAAAAAAATTTACGCAAAAGGTTCTTTTTATAAGATTAAATTGAATAAATTTACAATGTAGATAAAACATTCTGCATCTTGATCCATCATGACCCTTTTTTGAGTCCACTGGAAGATGCATCGTGACCATCAAACAGACAAGCAATGAAAAGGTGATAATAAAAGAATTAATAAGAACAGCACACTACCTCTGCTCTGGCTGTGCACCCTTGTTTGAAACTGAAGAATTATCAATATTCACCAGTGACTGAAGAGATTTTGGTTTCTCCATGCGAACAGCAACTCCTGCAGCAATAGCATCATGTTTTGCTAGAACACGTTGCAAATCATCATTCAGCGCAAGACCCTGACCAAGAAGCTCTTCATCCCTAGAATCAGTCCGGAAAGGTATCAGGATATTGTTCAAAGTACTAGTGTTCGTGAGCATACCCATATGCACAAATTTCCAGAAACAAAGTAGCATGTAAGGCTTAACAGTTTGATCCAACTATTCTATAACGATTCTACGCCCTATAGCAGGCTTATAAAACAGCCATTGGGAGAAGAAGACACCGCAATGGAAAATCCTGTGAAGAAATTTTTTTAACAGAAATTAAAGAGGAATATTGCTTAATACAAGTGCAAAAATGTTTATAAAACCATGGACAGGTCCTGATTTTTTTTCCTTTAAAAAACAAAAGAACGAGGAGAGTGCATTAATTGAAAATAGTTACAAAACTAAGATGCCATTAGTCATGAAAGCAGGTTGATTCACACAAAAGAAGAAAAAGACAAGGCAAATAATTTCTGAATTACAACCATTCGAACATTTGAGTAGTACTGATAAGAGGCCTTACGAGCTTGTGTTTACAAGATGCACCACTCTCTGCTTGTAAGTACGACACTGGTCAACAAGGTCAACAATAACCTCTTGTTTCAGTCCCTGTATATCAGTATTTAAAATGCCTTAGAACTTCCAAAATTCACACCAATTACCATGGGAACATCATTCAAATTAAACTGATTGAGAACTGCATAAACCTGTTAATGCCAATCTTTACAATATTATTAAATAAAATGTAGCCGAGCTTGCTTTTTTAGACATCACGGATATTGTAATCAAACAATGAATGCCAAATCAGAGACCAGGTATGTTTTTCGTGAGATGACTACTCAAAGATTTAGGATGAAAATGGCCCTTACAAGTTACTGTTAGTTAAGGCCAATGACTCACGAATTAGGAGAAAGTTCACTTGCAAGAAGAAGGTATAACTATATCTATGACAGTGAAGTGTACCTCTCGGTTTCCAGGATCTAAAGCATTCAGCATTTCTGCAAGAACATCCATGATACCACGGGCATTTTGAATTTCTGTGAGGCTGAGCAAACAAACTCTTAAGAGGGCAATATAAACATAATAAATCATGCATTCAGGATAAGATAAAAACATATATTAAGAGATCAAAGCATGCAACAAAGTGCCAAAAAAACATATATCATATGAGGAATCACCAAAGGGTCTTTGTTGTCCGTTTTAAAGGCCGAATCCTCTGATAAAACATGCAATTATCTCATCCTTTTTAACTACCAATGATTAATGTTCATTTTGGTATACACTAGTCCTATCTCTACTTCAACTACAATCTTATCACTGTGACAATATTGAAATGATGAATCAGTCTGAAACCAAAAAAAAATGGAACACTTTCATGAAATGGAAAATGACTTACTAGATGTAGCAACACTTCTCATTATCATCTTCATTAAGATAATAAAGTTCAATTAAACCAGAGTTTAATAAGAGTATCTTATAGTACTTTTGGTTGGGCATAGACATAATCCAAAGGTATGAAACACTTTACAATCCTAGTACAGACAGCGTTGTCTAAGTTACATTAAATATCTGTGGCTGTAGACCAATATGCACCTTAATTTGCAGGTGCCCAGTACAACTCTTACCAGAAACTTTTTCACTTGATATTTTAATGTGATGAGTTTATCTAATGTTCACAGTTTATTTAGGCATTTGAAAAAGCTCCTTTAAATAGAATGCTGCAGTTGTCAATTTAGTCACCCATAACATATGTTAGTTATAGCAGAAAAACCAGCTCATAATCATATTCGTAAAGATAATAAAATTGAATTCAACAAGAACTTACTGACGATCATCTTGTCATACTTTTTTGCTCGGCATAGCTAGAATCCAAAGGTAAAAATCACTTAGTGATCTTAGTACATACAGCAATTATCTAAGTCATGTTAATTTGTTGTGTAACCGAATTAGCTCCTAGACAATTACGCTCCTTAACTTGCTGGTGGCCACTTCATTTACTGAAAACTTTTTCACTTAATTGTTTAATGATGATGTATTTATCTGACATGCACTGTATATGTAGGCATTTGAATTAGCGCTTTTACATGGAACAAAGATGTGGTCAGTTAATAGTCTCCTAACTACCTTTACTTGTTTAATTGCTGTGAATAGTTAGTGAATTTTTTGTTTTGCATACTTTCTTGGTACATTTTTTGTACCTATTTAAGTAGACAGCAACTAGTTCTAGTTCGCAGAGACGTCATGATTAAGAATAATGCCACAATAAATTATTAGTTGTTTACTTCCTAAAATTTAAATTGTCTCATTCCCTCACTGCATCAGCGCGCGGGTACGCGCACACACAAATTCCTTATATTCTTTGAAAAGTTGCTCTTATCATCCAAAAGAATTATTCATCTCAATGTAGTGAGTATATGGGACACACATGATTATGCAGGATCTGGCACCAAAATGAACACATACGGAGTATGAATAACATAACAGGTTAAAGTTCATGGACAGGTGTGAGTAATAAAATGGAAAAGGAAAAGTAAACGACTTAACTGATTAACCATTTTCCTTGCACCAGTGTTCATAAAACCTTGTACAATTTACTAAATATGTAATACATTATAAGCACAAAAATTATGTAATGAGTTACACTCGGACAGAAAGTGCAATAAATCACACCTCAAGGTGGGAAACTCAGATGCAGCAGAAATCTCTGGTGCTTCGTGCTGATAATTGGGGCTTCTTACTGATTGAGGATAGGATGATAATGGTTGTGACTGAGGAGGAGTAAACACAGGTGCAGAGCTCTCAGATTTTTGAGGAAATACAGCCCCAAGCCTCTGAAAAACAAAAAAAAAGTATATTTTACAAAGCAACAACCAAGAACCAGAATTAATTTGAGGAAACATGTTAAACCCTTTCATTTAGACTCCATAAGAACAATATCCTAAGAATACCCCTGAGAACTAGTAAACTCAACCAATATAATATTAAACAGCCCACCTTTACTCTAACCACACCTTACCACAACCACAATCCTACCTACCAGTTATCGAGCATACTGAGTAGCAACTAATTCCATTTTGGTAACTAGGATCAACCGATCAAGGGGAGCTAGAAACTTGTATTTTATTTTTTAAAACTTTTATCCAGCAGAACAGAGGGTGTTGATGATGGTGAAATCTAAGGTTGATGAACCTCCGAAGCAAGACATGAAAGATTCGACAGGACCTAAGGCCCATCGCCTCGTTAGCGAGATATGAAGGACTTCCAAGTTGGCAAGGTCGAAGGTCAGCATAGCCTGGGCAACATGATGAAGTCGTCAACGGAATTTGACAAGGGAAGAGGTAAGTCTCGCAAAAGTTGGAGAATAAGTTAAAAGAAGAGACGAAAGATTATGGTTTTACTATGATACAATGTCAAGGACCACTTCACCTAAAAGCAGAGAAGAACTAATAAAAAGAATTAAAAAGTTACGATTTTGACCTCACATCTGAATCAATGGCCTCGTGCCAATTAAGGTCCCACGTTATTAAAACCAGAGTTTTGCGCCCAAGACTGAATCACACAATCAATAGAAATCATAATCTTTTCAACATACCTTTAACTCCTATTTTGTGATTTTCCAAGATAAATGTCGTCCTACATCAAATCTGCTCGGTTTGAGAAAATTCGATCTCAAGTTTGAGATTTGACATCATGAAGAATTTTAATCACTGTAATGTCAAATGTTCGAGATGTGATGGTCAATCTTTTCAACTTTTATAGAATTACGGCGAGGGATAAAAAAGTAGGGAAGAACAAACTAAAATAATAAAGAAAACAAAGATTTTTGCTTCATGCTTGGATTGATTGCCTCAACCTGAATCAAAGGCCTCAGCCGATCAAGGTCTCACAACTTCAAAAAAGGGTTTGACAACCAAGATGGAATCACACTCAATATGATCTAAACTTATCTCGAAAAATGTTCATCTCATCCTTTGTGATTTTCAGAGAGAGTCATCTTACATCACTCACATGATAAGTAAATGGGCTGACTGCAATTTATAATATTTCAAGTTTGGGCTGGATCTGGACTAGGCTTCGACCAGAATTTTTCTTGGATCTGGTGCAATCATAATGCAAATGGTTATAATTCAGATCAACATGCAATTTTGCATCTTACTAGTTACTCCTGCACTTAATGCATGAGGAACAAAAATATAGGACATTTTTTCTCCATTTGCTTGCAACAAGATTTTCACAATGGTATCAACATGTGACAATACACAATAACAGGACAACGACTCAAGATTGATGCTAAATGTTCTGAATGGGGGTTCCATGAAGGTGATCTAGCATACACCATGACCTCAATCCAACTCCTACCCAAACATTGGATAGATAAAATATAGCTCCAATAGCAGTTAACTGCACATGCCAATTCATGTCAAATGTCAAGTGACCAATACGTCCAGTTTGCAGGCCTCCCCCACCCCAAAAAACAAAAAACAAAAAGAAAACTTTTTCCCCTCATTATGTATATCAGATACTCGTAGTATGACCACAACTAAAAGAAGTCCACAAACTGCTCCATGAGTCAGTCATTTATTCATTTCACAAACAATTCTATGTTTATATGCCAGTTTCTTAAAAAAAGGGAAAGAAATCTAAAAAGTAATACCAACAGCTCTTGATATGCTGCGAAGTACTGTGGATATCTTGCTCTTGGGCCACCAAATGCCTCATGCCATGTGTCTATTAAACTCAATATCTTTTCTTTGACACGAAAATCAGGATGCTGTTCATAAAAAAGATAGATCATTTGGCATCATATAAAAATAAGTAATAAAAGATGAGCAATATATTTTTGAGAAATGTGTCAACCTTCTTTTTCACTATCTTCACCATCTCATGGAGTACATCCTTCTCTGCTACATGCATATGGACAACATCGCCACAATTTTTTATCACTGTTTCTAACAACTGAAAAGATGACAAATATTGTATAAACATTAGGCTAAATAAAATCAAGCTTCATGAGATGTGGCGAAAAAACAGTGATCTCACTCCTAATAAGATTTCAAGAATATGAAGATTCAGCGAAAAAAACACTTTATAACATTATAATTCTCCTCAAATAGAAACAGTGGAAGCACATTAAACAGAGGCTAATCTAACCAAATTCAACAATACCAAACTTGTTAAATAAATAAAAACAAAAGACATCAAAAGACAGAAAAGTCATTTTCAAAAAAGAGTAGGAATTAGATTCAGAAGCATATAAAACCAGAGCACTAAGAGACTATGCAGTGCAAAACAGAACTTATTATACCAAGCCAATTGCATCTTCAAAAGAACAAAAAGTTCAAAAGAAAGAAAGCAAAGACCAAAGCAGTTAGTTTGTAAACTGCACAAGTATGCAACCATATAAAGATCAACGAATCAATTACACAAACATTTCCCTAAAAAAATTGTCAACTAGAAAGCAAATGTTTAGGTTTAACATAAATGGTTCCATGAACAGGAATTGCAAATTATTGCACCGGATAAACAACTTCACCTTCAAGGTTCAAAATCATAATAATATCAATGAGAAAAAGAATGACTGCAGTTTAGGTAATTAAATTTAAACATAACAATTTGAGGTAATAGTACTCACAGTGAGTGCGAGAAGCTGGACTTTCGGATTCTTACTACCAAGACGTTTTTTGAGACCTTTTACAACATCCTTGACTTGCCTGATTCAGTAATGTTAACAAAGCATGAAGATAGTTGTCAAATTGTATTCGTACCACTACCATACACAATATATGACAAATAAGATAAAGATAATAGATCTCTTGAAATCCGTGATACCCCTGTTTTCATTTAGTTAAAAAAGAAAGCTATTCTTCATATTTTATGCTTTATTCAAGATGAGAAGAAAAGGTAATACGCAAAAGAGAGTCAAGAACTCAAGCAGCTTATCGGAATATGCCGTTCGACTCATGACAGTTACTTTGACAGCAAACTGGAGAAACTCAGACCTAGGGAGGAAGCCCATATATTGTTTTAAATATCCCCGACATAGCCCGATATATCGGTATAACCTTTGCCAAGCAGGGCCTAAGGGTATAAGGACCTTAGAACATAAAGACGGAGCCCTAGGGCAGCCATTTCCAACACTTTCTACTTTGGCTAATGGTTAAGGAAGAGGGATTAGGGAGAAGTATTAACGTAGTTAGCTCATTCGGTATGGTAGCTTGAATTAAATTAGTTATGTTCTCGAAAGTGGTATAATATCTCATTAACCCTTACTACCACCAAAGGCAGTTGTCAATCAAACATTCTTAATCAACTACATTCCACCATTTTTATGTATTTGACCTCCCTCCTTTCATCCCCTTTCTCTCCTTTTAATATGCTCAGTGAAAAGTGAAAACCATTCAGAAGTTCAGCCTATTGCCAACAATATTCAATCACCACTTCACTACCGAGTTGAATGAGATAAGGATTTCAGAATCTGCAATCAGTAAGCAATATGGAATAACATAAAAGCTATTTACCAGACGTTAAGGAGATGTCAACTACTAAAGGGTGGGAACTGATTAGCTAACAGTCCCATCCTCCTACCTTAAAACGACACAAAAATAATAAACTCCATTCTCATTGATCGTATTGAAATCAAATGCTTCAGCTACTTACCAAGCTAATGATGTATTTAGTTCATCAAAAAATATGAAATTAGCAATCATCATTATATCGAGAACTCAAAATCCTCTTAGACTTATCATTCATTTTTAACCGTTTCCAAAAAACAGCACAATATGTAACCTAAAATTACAATAAGTTTATCAACAGGTTCATCCAAGACAGTTTTGTCTAAGCGCATTATTCTTGTATGTCCCTGAAACCAGTCATATCTCTGCCTAATCACAAAAAACAAATCAACAGGAAAAAAAAATCAAGAAGTCAAAGCAGTGGACTACATAAGGAATCTACTCATTAACTACTAAAGGGTAGGGATCTTACTAGCTAATGATGTACCTCCTTATGATAAATCTATTTGAAAATTGATTGAGCCAACAGAAGATTCCTTTCCTCTAGCTTAAAAGCTGACTCAAAAACCTGAAACTCCATTCTTACTGTATATAGTGAAACCAAAAGCTCAAGTCATTCACCAAGTGTCATATGATGTATTTAGTTCAATACAAAACTAGAAACCATTGTTGTACCGAGAGCTATAATAACAACAACAGTCATTATCCCAAATTTATGGAATCAACAGCATGAATCCACTTCTTCCAATTATATTAATTAATATCTCCTTCTTTATGTTAACTATTACTATACCAGCATATCATTTTACTTGCTTCCAAACCAAGATTGCTCAGGCCTAGCTCTAGTCCTCCTTGTACTGCTAGTTCTTGTAACTGATACATTCAGTGATCTCGGTTGTACATGAGGATACCATCTCAACTGATTCTCTCGCACTTTATCCTCTACAGCTCTATCCACATACGAATGCACTCGTTTCTTATCTTACCTCTAGTGTATATACAACTGCATCATAACCTTCTCATTTCTGCTGCTCTAATCATTTCAAGTTCAAACTCCTCTCGGACTTGTACGATTTACTTTTAAACTTTTTAAAAAGGCGGCAGAACATGTAGCCTGAAAAATATAAGCTCATCTACGACTATTTTTCGAATAAACTAACAATTGTAATCCCTCTACATCCCTGTTACCAATCAAAACCTTTGCCTACTCACAAAAATTCACCAGGAGAAGAAAGAAATGGTGCGGAGAAACAAATAAAACAGTAAAAAGACAAAAATAACCAGCAAAAAATAGAATCAAAAAGGTAGAGGAAATCGATACCCAGGATCACGATTTAGTATATCGCAGATCTCCATGTTCATGGCCCAATCAGGACCGATCAGATGATCGCTCGTCGCCCGATCCACTAACGAACCCGCCATCGCTCCCCAAATCGAAGTCCTCGACCAAGATCCCAAGAAATTAGGGCAAAGAGGGAAGCCCTAGGAGAGAAGGATAGTCGTCGATATCTTTCTTCACTTTTTGCAGCAAATTAAGTAATTAATTATTTATATGTCTTACTTTTTTGAGGGGAGAGAATGGTAAAGTACAAGGAGAAGGAACCAAGGACCTTTGTAGAGTCCACCCACTAAGGTCTTGGTATTAACTAGAAGGGATGATTCGCGCATGCGAGATGATGACACGTGGTGGATTAGAGAAGGTTGAGCTTTTATGAGCGCTAACTAGTCTCATAGCAAACCATCTCAAAATATGATATTTTATATTATAAAAATTAGTGTAGTTTTTACATTAAATTGTTATTTCATCTCCAATCAACTATATTAAATTTTACATCAAAAAAATATTCCTTTTATTATTTTTATCATTTAACATTTTTATTTATTTAAAATATTTAACAAATTATATAATTATATATTATATAATACATTACATATGATTAATTATAATAATATAAATTTATTATTAAAAAATATAAATTTATTATGAATTAGCACATATATTTTATGAATTAGCACATAAATTTATTATTATAGAAAATAAGAATACAACATGAATTATTGTGTAATAAAATGGATATTTTATGAATTATGTGCTAAATTATGTTGTATTATTATTTTTATCTAAATAATTAAAAAATTAAAAGACTAAAAATAAAAAGAAAAAAAATTGTGTTGCACCAAAGCTACAGTGTTGCGTCAAATCTGGCGTAGCACTGTAGCATCCCACTAAAATGGCGCCGATTTTGACGCCCGGTTGGAGGAATGGTGCTGCGTTAAAATGGCTTTTTGCGTACCGGTTGGAGATGCTCTTAAGCTTGTGAAAATTTTTAAAAGTGAAGAATATAATAAATAAAAATAACGATCAATGAATCAGGGGAAATTAAACCAAAAAAGCAAGTTCAATGCAAAATTTAAAGAGTTTATTTAATTTTTATGACAAGTACGGATAAAAACTAATTTAATCTTCAAGAAAACATATATTTGTTTTAACTACACTTTTCCTACTTGGAGCAGCCCATACAAAAACATCAATTTAAAAATGTTTTAAACCACATTAAATTATATTTCATACTCCCTTTAAAAGCACGAGTTCGGAATTTTTTTTTTAGACAAATATACCCCTTTATAGTTTGAACTACCTTATCTATAATCAAATTCTAATTATCAATGGTCAATATTACCCTTCATTATTTTGAATATTTTATTTATATCTTAATCTACCCTAATCATACGGAAAATCTTTTTTAGACAAATATACCCCTTTATAGTTTGAACTACCTTATCTATAATCAACTTCTAATTTTCAATGGTCAATATTACCCTTCATTATTTTGAATATTTTATTTATATCTTAATCTATCCTAATCATAATCATATCTTATCCTAATCCTATGTGAACCATGTTTAGCTTAACAATTTAAAAAAAATAATATTAATAAAATATATAAAACATAAAAATGATATTAGTTTGTTAAGATAAAGAAATTATAAGTAGATAACATATTATAATACATGAAGTATTGCAAAAAAAACCATAAAAAGTTTTAAAATTGTAGAAAACACCCTGAAAAGTTCAAAATTATAAAAATTATCCCAATGTATCAAAACTTAAAATAAAAAATATGAAATTAAAAAATTAACATCAGTTTGCAAAGAATTTAAAATTTACAGTTAACACCTCAATGTCTTAAAAATTATAGAAACACCCTCAAAAGTTTAAATTACAGACAAGCACATTAAAATTCTAAAATTTTAAAACTTACAAACAACATAGACGAATTCAACAGATTACCATGATACACCTAAATTTTTTGACATTTAAATTTAAATTTTTTTAATTAACACCCTTAATATCTCAAAAATTATAGAAACACCTTTAAAAGTTCAAATTATAAAAAGCCACCCTAAAATTCTAAAATTTGTAAATAATATAAGATGAATTCAAGATATTACCCTTAGACACCTAAAAATAAAAATTTGTCGAAATTAACCTCAAAATTTTTAAAAAATTCCTTCAAAATTTAAAAATCGTAAAAAAAACTCTAAATTTTCAAAATTTTTAACTAGCACACATCAAATTCGTCGATTGGTAGACTGCTAAATTTTAATATTTTTCAAAATTAATCTATAGTTTTAATAATGTTAAAAGACACCCTTAAAATTTTAGAGTTACAAGAAATATACTAACATTTAAAAAATTACCACCAACACATGAAACATAGAATTTACAACTACCAAACTTAAAAGTAAATTTTTTTAAAAAATCTTTCAAAATTTTAAAAATTACAAATCACACCCTCAAAGTTCAAAACCACAAAAATGGGCTAAAATTTTAAAACTTGGCAAAGAAAAGTGTAATTGTTTGGTATTTTTCATATATATATATATTAAAATTTCTAATTTAGGGATTTACTATCCATTTTCAGCATCTAAGAATAGTCTAAGTTGATACTGGTAAACAAAAACAATAAGAATTGATTAAAAACATCCGGTTAATGGATAAAATTTTTAAAAATATTATAGATTAAAAATTATCGGCACTATATAAATTAAAGTAATTTCATATAATTTTAGTAATAAGTTGGGATAGCCAAAATACATTCGTAACATTAATTGATAGATGTTTAAATCCATAGAAATGATAAAACACTATAATATTATACCTTAGCATTAATTGATTTTAATTTAGAAACTTTAATCTTTGACGTTTATAATATTTCTAGGGAAAAAGAATACAAGGAATTACATATGGAGAAACTATTAGAATATTTAGAGATAAGTTTAAAAGAATTGAGTTATTTCCATTGCAAATGGGAAAGTGATGGAAATAAATCTAAAATTCAGAAAACATCAATGAATCACTTGAATTGGCATTAACATAAGATATGTCTATTAATGAAGCACTGAATGAGTTACATTAAAAAATAATTTAATAACTTTATCCTAATCAAAGAAAAAATCTCCATGGAAGACATAAGAAAAATTAGTAAGTATTCATAAATTCAATACTGTGTTCTTCAAATTAAATATTAATATTATAATCTAAGAGAAATTGGTAATGAATAATGCAGGTATTTATTTTAGATCTTTATGGAAAATAACAGGGATAGAGTAAAGGTAATATTATCGAAATAACAGAAATTCTTATTGGATGCACATCAGAAAAATTCATTTTAGAAGAAAATAAAGAGATAGCTTCTAATTTATTTAAGTAATAAATTAGGAACACAAAGAATTTTATATATATGAAATTAATATTTATTCTCATTGAAATAGAAAAAAAATCAAAGTCTATATTTTGAGCAGTTTGTGTTGAACATCATAAGTACATTTGACTTCTTTGTAAAGTTAAATGAGATGATAAAAAATTAACGAGCCTAGGAAAGATAATAGCATAAAAAATACAAAATTAGCCTGATGTCACAATTGATGTAGATGATGAAGACAATACTCTAGAATTGTCCGAGAAATGATAAATGATAAACCTGAAGAAGGATTGATCTTAACTCAATAAAAAATAAAATAGAAGAAATAAAAACAATATTTTATGAATATTTTATAGAATAGTTTAATTATTTTGAGTGAAATTAGGAATCTTTAGAAGGGAGTTTCATGAATTTTTTTCAGTACTTTTATATTCTTATGTGGATGTTTTTATCATATAAAAGTATACTAGAGTTAGTATTAATCTTTAATTTATATTTTTTTATGAAGTCTATCAATGATTAGGAATAAACTTCATATTCTCTTTTGCATCGTTTTAACATAATTTAAATCAATTATTTTTCCATATTGATTTTAAATATTCACCTTCCTTGTATAACACTATTTTAATATTTTTCACTTTGCAATGCTATACTTTCTCAAATAAACCTTAGTTTCATATCGGTCAAATATAATATGAAAATTCAAATTATTTTTAAATTATATTTGTTTTTTTTAATTCAAATATCAACATGAAAATTTAAATTGGGTGTATCTCATTTAAACAAACATAAAAAAATAATCAGGATGTAAGAGTTTAAAGAAAAAATAAGCACAAACTGCCAAAAATACTTAATCATGGTATTAAATCACGTGCATTGCACGTGTGTAAAAATTAGTTCTCTTTAAAAGCACGAGTTCAGGAAAATCTTTCAGTAGACAAAAATATCTTTAGAATTCAAATATTAATCCATTAAGTAAGAGTATGTTGATAAATTGATGAATTCTTATTAGATATACATAGTATGAAGATAAAGATACAATTTAAATTAAAAAGTAAATCTAAATGAAATTATTAAATACTCATAATATAGATGGGATATTTACAAATCATATCATATCATATCATACTCTCTTTAAAAACACGAGTTTGGGAAAATCTTTCAGTAGACAAAAATACCATTGGAATTCAAATATTAATCCATTAAGTAAGAGTAAGTTGATAAATTGATGAATTCTTATTGGATATACATATTATGAAGATAAGGATACAATTTAAATTAAAATATAAATCTAAATAAAATTATTAAATACTCATAATGTGGATGAGATATTTACAAAATCCACCAAACAAATTAAAAAGACAAATATCATTCTCAAAATTATTAAAAAAAAAATCAAGGAAAACAAAATCATATTCTCTTTAAAAGCACGAGTTTGGAAAAAGCTTTTCATAGTCAAAATTACCACGTACTATTTTAATATTTATTAATTTAAATTATAATATATCTAATCATAGTTATATCCTATCCTAATACCTAGGGGTGCTAAACTGTATCCGTATCCGAGAAAATATCCATCACCGTATCCGTTAGGATACGAATACGGTTACTCAAATCTATAACCGATAGGATATGGTCACGGATATGGTTTTGTAGTGAAATTGTGACGCCTCTGGGTTCACACAAGGCTGCAGTCCAATGTGAAACCAAGAATGTCAAACCTGTCATGCACCACACCGTGTAGCCAAGATCTGAGTAGATAAACTGGAATACTCAACAAGTCTCAAATACAAATATCTGACGAAAAGGAAATAAGGCACACAGCCTTTACAACTTCTAGAACAAGACTCTCAAATGTCTAAATAAAAATCTACTG